TATCTGGAGAAGCCTTGAATGTGGAGAATGTTAAATATATGTTCACAAGATTGATGATCCGATATAAGCTTGTCTCTCTTCCCCATTACGGCAACCCTGTAAGGTTTTCAAGGCGAGAGGCGAACAGAGGTGGTTTGCCGTTGCCTGCCTCTCCATAGCGGCTCCGAACTTCCTTGGTGGTCTCCCATCCAAGCAATAACCCGGACTGACCATGCACGGGCTAAGGCTTAGAGACCGTTAGGTAGCTAAAGCTGAGAACGAACATTCTCCCACGGCACCTAGGGTAATCCCAGACGCTACAACACCCTCCTGCACATCTGTATAGATAAGCGTTTCGGCGCACAGCAGAGAAAGCACAGAAAGGAATGCAGTAGCAATTAACCTGAAAGGAAAGCAATAGCAATGAATCAGACACCGACCAACCTCCCCAACCTTCATGGCAGCATCGCTGACACTACTAGACTCTTGCTCTTTTCTACTGCGTATATTGATATGCCGATAAAGGTTGTCTGTCTGTCTACTGTGTGTGTTGGCGTCACTTCATTCTCTGCCATGCCATAATGTTTGAATAAATCCATTAAGGTACCTTGCTGGTAGTCCCCTTCCCCATCTGAATACAGGGACGTCTGAAGTCTGAACAATTTGGGTTGTGTATCCTTGTGAACAGTTCAGCAGATGTCCTTTCCAATTATGAGCAGGCTTTCCTATGCAATCAAGCATCTATATTAGTTACTAGGGCAGGTTCATGTTTCTTGGCCTTCTTTTCCCCCCGTAATAAATCTGGAAGGCGAGACAGAGTCTTCCGCCCCGCAGCCACTGTGCTTCTCAGTGCTGTTAACTGGAAAGTTCTATGTCCTGTCTTATTAAGATTCTAAAGGGAAAGGCACGTCCTGATGATGTTTGCTTCCTTCAGCGAATTGCCTGTGTGTTTGGGGAGGCTCCCACGTTTTCAGCGATCTGGGGAGGCCTGCGTGACCACAGACTGAGAGAATCCTTTTAATAAATGTTGGTAGTTAAAAACAAAGATGATGCTCAGGTGCACACGCTGTAGGAATGCTCTGCGTTTATCTCTGCTGAATGCCGCAAGGGCAGGAATAGGCAAAGAGTCTTGACTTCTGCTATGTTTCTGTTTAAAAGAGTCTTGACTTCTGCTATGTTTCTGTTTAAAAGAGTCTTGACTTCTGCTATGTTTCTGTTTAAAAGAGTCTTGACTTCTGCTATGTTTCTGTTTAAAAGAGTCTTGACTTCTGCTATGTTTCTGTTTAAAAGAGTCTTGACTTCTGCTATGTTTCTGTTTAAAAGAGTCTTGACTTCTGCTATGTTTCTGCTAATTAGAATGATGTGCTGACCTGGACAACCCAGGTCTAGCTTGGTCTTGTCAGATCTCAGAAGCTACGACCTGGCCCTGGCTGGTATTTGGATGGGAGACCACCAAAGAGGTCCAGGGACACCACTCAGAGGAGGGCAGTGGGAGGCCACCTCTGTTCATGTCTTGCCTTGGAAAACCCTCGAGGGTTGCCATAAGTCGACTGTGACTTGATGGGCGTTTTCATCCATCCCAATTAGAATGATATAATCTGGGGAACATATTGAGAATCCCTACGGGATAGACAACAGATGTCTAAGTGCTTCCTTTTCTATGAGTTGGTGGCCACCCGCTTTCTGCCAGCGGAAGTCGATTGTCCCCCAGCAGCGCCCTGTGATCACCAGAAAGCACATCTGAGAGGTCAAAAGATCTGCATAGATTAAAGGCCATGGATGGGTCTAGAGGCTGTAGTCCAGAGGGAGAGGTAGGCGAGCTCCTCCTCCTCCCTCTTCCACCAGCAGAACGTCCGCTTTATACAACCCAGTATTATCTTTACTCCTGAAGTACTGTCATGTTTTGAGTCCCCAGCCAAGATGCAGGAGGGAAAGCTGCCTTCACTCAGGAGTTTATCTGTAGCGCTAAAACTTTTGTATACGTTTCACGATGTAATCTTTGCTGATTGTCACCCTCTGTTGCTCATACATGCAAAGAGCGAGGCGAGGCTGCGTCAAGAAGCGCTGAAGAGGCAGCAGCTCGAAGGGGAAATGAGCGAACATAGAGCACTCATCGACGCTTTGACAGCTGAAATCCTCCTCATGAGAGAAGAGAATCTCACTTTACAGGTAGGTAAGCTTCAACTGTGAAATCCATAGAATCACAGAGTCGTAAGGGGGCCATACAGGCCATCTAGTCCAACGTCCTGCTTTAATGCAGGATCAGCCTAGAGCAGTGGTGGCGAACCTATGGCACGGGTGCCAGAGGTGGCACTCAGAGCCCTCTCTGCGGGCACACGTGCCATCGCCCCAGCCAGGCCCAGACCATCATTAAAGTGTCGAACTCTCTACCAAATAATTTTAAGTAAAAGAAGGCATTTGGGATTGCTTTCCTTACTTTGTTTGGATCATCTTAAGTTAATGTATGGGTTGTTTTTTCTAAAGTAAAACCTCAGTATTCAGTTTAAATTGCCGTGTTGGCACTTTGCAATAAACAAGTGGGTTTTGGGTCGCAGTTTGGGCACTCGGTCTCTAAAAGGTTCACCATCACTGGCCTAGAGCATCCCTGACAAGTGTTTGTCCAGCCGCTGCTTAAAGACTGCCAGGGAGGGGGAGGTCACCACCTCCCTAGGCAGCTGATTCCACTGTTGCACAACTCTCACTGTAAAAAAGGTTTTCCTAAGATCAGCCCTTAATTTAAGCCCATTATTGCGAGTCCTTCCCTCTGCTGCCAACAGGAGCAGCTCCCTTCCCTCCTTTAAGTGACAGCCCTTCAAATGCTTAAAGAGAGCTGGGGATTTAATGCCAGCTTATGTTGTGGGCTCTTTGTTTAGCAATGTAATATTTTTAGTCGGGCCTACAAACATTAGTGGCCAGATCTGGGATCTGCAGGTACACCCGGGGTCTGTGGCAGAGAGGTGACCTTGTGACAGTTGTCGCTGCCATCTGTAGAGATTCAGATTCTTGTTATCACGGCACACAATGCAGTCCATCTTTATCTGCACCTCTGGTGTTTAAAAAGGCTTTCCTGCTTTGAGCACGTCTGACATTTCCATCAGAGCCATACATTCCAGATCCAGAATTTGCATAATCTTATCCTGCGAGGACTAGAAAGGCATTTGATAGCCATTTTTTCTTTGTGGAGGTACAGTCCAGAAAGTCTGTCTGATATGCCTACGCCATTAGATTACAAAATAAACCACTGGTTTGCTAAGATTTCTGGAAACAATAAATGATGGGCAACGCCGTCCATGCTTCTTGCACGCTTTTTGTAATTAAAAAATTATTGTAAACACCAAAACATAGTGGTAACATCATCCAACAATATATACTAAGAAGACAGGACCAGAAAGAAACGAGGGAAAACTGGGCAATACAGCAAAGACATTTAAGACTTTCAAAATAGATCCTAAACACAGCAAGCGAATTACAACTGCAACAGATCAATAGGATAGATATGGCTTCTTCTGTCGACAGCATCGCCACGCTTTTTGTAATGGAATGAATGCTGATCAGAGTCTGTCTTGCGCCTTTTTCCTTCTAGAGCAAGCTTCAGCAGTACATGTTCGTCACAGATGAGCAGCTGACTTCTCTCACTCGCGCACTCAAAGGGCTCCCCATTTCAGAATCTAACAGAGCGAGAAGCCCGGGAGAGACCAGCAGGCTTTCAATCTGGAGTCCAGAGGCTATTCAGGGTATGGGTCTTATTCTCTGCGTACGAGAGAAATTTGAGAATCCACCTCAAAACAATTTGCAGGCTGTTAGCAGCAGTTGACTTGTTTGTTTCTGGGAATGCTTGGGGCTTGAAGCCGCGGGTCTTAGGGTGTGGTTGGGGGCCCCAGGATGCAGCATCCTCTCTGATGCAAAGCAGGCATGGGGGAACTTGGGGGTAAGGATCATCCTTGACCCTCTGCTGCACTTAAGCCGCGGGTCTGGGTGCTTGAAGCCGCGGGTCTTACGGTGTGGTTGGGGGGGCCCGGGATGCAGCATCCTTGCTGACGCAAAGCGGGCATGGGGGAACTTGGGGTAAGGAAGGATCATCCTTGACCCTCTGCTGCACTTAATGTGATGTCAGGGATAAGACCTACTGAGGAAGGAAGTGTCCATGAATATCAACCAAAATGTATGGATTCTATCAGAAGTAATGGGTTGGGAACTAATGGAACTACAAATATGAGGAGCTCATGAAAGGAATTTTTCACCTTTCCCTCTAA